TTAAAGTATATTGACTAGGAATAAAAGAATGTTTGTCAATTAATAAAGACTAAGTTTGATGAAATCCGGATAAGAAATAAGAAATTTGGCAATGCGCATGCGCACAACAAAAAATTCGATATTTTCATATAATTTATAATTGAATTATACACATACCTAGCAAGTTTAATTAAATTCGGATAAGAAATAAGAAAGTTGATAATGCGCAAGCTCACATCAAAAATTTAATATTTCCATCAAATTTAGAATTGGATTACACACATACATACCAAGTTTGGAGAAATTCGGATAAGAAATAAGAAAGTTGGTAATGCGCATGCGCACAACAAAAATTCAATATTTCCATCAATTTCAGAATTCGATTATACACATTCATACTAAGTTTGGTAGAATTCGGATAAGAAATAAGACAGTTGGTAATGCGCATGCGCACAACAAAAATTCAATATTTCCATGAAATTTAGAATTGGTTTATAGACATACATGCCAAGTTTGATGAAAATCGGATAAGAAATAAGAAAGTTGGTAATGCGCATGCGCACTAAGCAAATTCGATTATTCCATGAAATTTAGAATTTGATTATACACATACATTCCAAATTTGATGAAAATCGGATAAGAAATAAGAAAGTTGGTAAATTAAGTGGAGGTATCCCTTTAATGTGCTTCCGTAAGCTTAACTTACAGTATAACACAGATCAATCAACCCTAGAGCTTATTTATATACCGCAACGGGACTCAAAAACATTTTAAAGAAATATAAAAAGGAGGGTGTCTTTAAAACAACTTAAACTTTGATTTCTATTGGGGTTTAGCCAGGTTAATCTAATTCGTCGATTTATCTAATAATAACCCCATGTTAAGTGAATAGGGTTTCGAATTTGCATGTAAGGCATGCATGTTATATATCATTGGAAAGCGCAGGATCTCAGCATTTTGAATCCGACAGAAGTATTTCTCTACCTCTATTAGGGCACATGTGAGGACGCTTTAAAGATGCAGAATCAACTTTCAGTGACACCCATAAAACCGAAACCACACGTCGAACACAAAAAATATTAGCATCATGTAAAAGCTGAAGTCAATAGTAAACATTAATGTAAATATCAACCAAGACCAAGTTCCTTTGATAGACGCATTTAAAGATTTAAGGAAATTGCAACATTTCCTTTAATGTGACTCTGACATCATCAAATGCCACATGAATTGAATTCATTTATTAAGTGCATTAATAATCTGAAAGTGGTATGGCGCTAAATCAACTAGGGTTTGGGATACAGCACTGCAAAAATGCCATTTTGACCATATTTAGATCCCTATAAAATCAGAAGTTGTTGTTTGACCCCAAAGGTCAAACGGTAATGAGAAGGTCAAGGACAGCCCTTATCACCATAGTCAATATAAAGGTCATCAAAGGTCAAGGTCATGAGTTATAAGCCTTACAAACTTTGAAAAAAAACATCAGGTCGTACAAAAAAAGCAAAACCGAAAATCAAAATTATGCTTCCCATTTTTTGTAGACAGACATTAAACGTATCGTATGACACAAAAGTTATGCAAATCGGATGATAAATGGCCTCTGAATAGCAATTTCTGGAAAATGAGGCAAACCAAAATGGCGGCCTACATGTTACTTCCGGTGCGATTTTTTTTAGTTAAATAAGTTTGTATTAAGGCTGGTAATATAATGCATATTTTATTTTGGACATAACTTAATTTCACCGGAAGTGATACCACCGGAAGTACTAACATCGAAACCGGAAGTGACAAAAATATTTTGAATGTGTGCTTTTATTCCACTATTCTGGCAGTCTACACCAAGTGAGTTTCAAGTCAATCCACCAAACTACAACCGAAATAGTATTTTCTGCAAAGTTTCAGGAGATCTATCGTCATTTTCAATAAAATTGGTGATTCTTCGATCTTCTTTTGCAAAAAGACTGCGAAAACTAGCTCTTTTTTCTTACTGTTATTCTTAAGGATTCTTGGATTCCCCTCACGTACTGTGCATCATCACTGTCAGGTTTTGTAGACTGGTCAGGCATGATGAAGAAATAATTTGAAGTAAGAAACAGCAGAAGAAATTTGCTCCACCTGTCTGCTCCACCCTAGGCCTGTACATTTGGGAGAATCAAACCCTCCCTTCCCCGAAACCTAATTCCAGTTCTGTTCTTCCATCACGGCACCAAATTATGTGGGAGTTGGTATACCACGTAAGTATGAAATAGCAAGAGGAACCACTATATTACACAACACATGTTCAATCAACAACTGTTCTAAAAAGCATGCAGAGGAAGTGGTTATAGGATAGTCTCTAACATCCAGACACTTTTACAATATATCAATAAATTATAGTCCGAAACACTCCGAACTATTTTGCAGATTAGACAATATGCAACTATCATTGTCTGCTTAGACATGGGGAATTTCTCTTGAAGGCTCTTATAGTGGGTATGAACTATCTTGCTTGCTCGATTGCTGGTTGTATTGAACGGGATAACAAAGGGTGCTATGCCTACATTATGGTGAATATTTAGTCCTATAGGTCTTGCTGTATTCAATGTATCCATCCAATATGCTTCCCTACATTGACGGAATTTGGTAGTTTCATCTTCGGGCATCTTCTATACGCTCAATTGGGATTAGGGTGAGATCGTCTATTGAATGGTCGTCGAGGTTGAAATGATTAGAAACAGGCTTGTCTTTCTTTAATTTGATGTCTGACCTATGAGCATTAAAACGGGTTCGTAAATTATTCTTAGTTTCTCCTACATATTATATTGTTTGGGGCATTTCTTGCATGAAATTAAATATATTACATTCGAATGTTCAAATGTTCGATATTCCTGGATCGGGTACCTTTTATTCGTAGAGTTGCTTACAAAATAATTAGTTTCTGATATAAAGGGACATGGTTTGCATCTACTGGACAAACATGGAGCACTTCTTAACCCTGGAGGTACTTCGGCATAAAGTCTGTTTTTAGCTGCTATCTGTGCTAAGGTGGAATTTTTTATGTTTCGTAAAAATCGTTTAGAGTACCCACGCTCTTTCAGTTTTGAGAAAACAATCGTACAGAATTGGTTGACATCAGAAGATCTTGTACAAATTCGATGAAATCGTAAAACTTGTGACTTAATTATACCAGAAAAGGTATGATTTGGGGTGAAAGGAGCAAGAGTTGATGAGTATATGTTTCTTTGAAATACACTTTAATATCCAGTTTATTTGTTTCTGCTATGGAATCTCCCTTAAAGACAGTGGTATCGAGAAAGTCTATGCTTTTGTCACTCAAGTTTGCGGTTAGTTTGATAGAAGGATGGTGGTTGTTGAGAAGTTCAAAGAATTCCCAAAACTGTTCGATAGAATAAGTCCAAACCATAAAAATGTCATCCAAAAAGCGTCTGTAAAAAAGTGGGTCAAATGGACAGAAGGGCAACACCTCACGTTCCCACTCTACCATGAAAAGGTTTGCGTACGAAGGGGCGAATCGTTTGCCCATTGCTGTCCCTGAAGTTTGTAAATATGTTTTACCATTAAATGTGAAATCGTTTCATAATTCCATAGGAGACCATCGGGAAAACAATGGGCTATTTTTTAAAAATTGGCCATGTAGAGGCTTGACTGGCCAGTAACAGATTTAAGCATGAAAATACCATTATATTGTGTGTGAGAATTTCTGCCAATTCCATCAAAAACATGCGTTGACTTGCGAAATATATTTGATAAATTTTCAACAGATCTTGATACTAATACAACGGCAGTGGCTATTTACCACCGGCGTTGTAAGTGTGGTAAATAGCCCTAAGTACACTTACAATTATTTACCACGGCGTGGTAAATAAAATTAGTCATGATTTGATATTCCTTTCGGCAAAAATTGCTTAAAACTACCTAAATATTCAAAATAACGATTTTGAATTCAAAAACTCATCATATTTATCAAAAATTTGTTTTTTGAAAAAAAAATGACGTGTTTGTTTACAAATAAATGTCAAGGCCGACTTTGAAGAGTTCACGGTTCAAGGCTGAATACTTCTCAATTCAAACCTATCTAAAAAAAAGTTCCGCGTTGTATGAAATTTAGTGTACATGCATTTGTTCTTTCGGCAATAGACCTTAATTACAAATCAATCAAAATTTACTTTTAACTTTGAATTCGAAAGCAGGCTTATTACAAGTATATCTATTCAAAATCAATTCAGGACTAATCTTCCCCAAATAATCGCAAGGGTATTTTGTTTGAGAATAACTTTTGAAAATAAATTCCTTTGTCTTCTAATATCACTACCCCTCACTACCGTCAATGAAATCTTGGCTATGCCACTGAGTAAGTAATGTATATTCCCACAAAAATTGTAATGTTGGGTCCTATCGGTGATAGTGTGATTTAAGAAAAATAAATCCAATAAAAGTGCAGGCCTAGGTAATGAAGTTCATTCGCACTGGGTTCGTTCGCTCCACAAAATTTTGTGGCACAATAATCCACAAGGTTTGAACAAAATGTTTAAATATGTGTTATATCATCGAAGTTGGTCACTTATGAATTAAAAAAGCTATCATGTGACTTAAAAAATACTGACTTGTTAGTCCTTCATTCAAACCTTTTCCAATTTGTCGTCAAGAAATTTGCCTTCACTAACACATGTTGTTTATCCAAACGATTCTATATTCCTAAAAGTTTTTTTTTCATTCGGGGCGTTAAGGAAATTATCTGTTGTTTAATAACTTTTTCCTCGAATGAAAAATACCTTGGTTGGTTGGTAGATGACAAGTTAACGTTCGCTTCCAGCGGATGCTGATATCGCAAAGTAGGTAGTTGTTGGTAGTCGTAGTAGTTGGTAGTTGGATTGGATCAAATTGGATGATTCGGTGTTGTTGGTTTGGTTGTTGATTCTTCGTTAGATCTGGTCGGGTCGAATGACATGGCGGTGAAACTCGGCCCTGGATGGTGTGGCGTGAGTTACTCGGTCTCCTTCATTCTTCCAAACTCGTTCTGATCATGGTATTTCTTGTTGATTGGTAGTCGAATGGTAGTCGTTGGTTTGGTTTGGTTTGGTTAGATTATCTGTTATCTGTTGGAAAACTCGAAGACCTGAAAAAAAAAAAAAAAAGAAAAAAAAAAAAAAAGAAAGTGAGAAAAAGAGGGAGGAAAGAGGGGGGGGGG